CCGCCGCGCTGCGCCTCGCCTCTCCTTACCTCCTTCCCCTCGCTCCTCCTTCACAGTCTCCTCCTATCCCTACCTCTTACCTTCGCGTATCAACTTCGGCACATCCCTAACACGCTTCGCAGTCTGATATGAGGCCCCACCAACAACTGTATTGCGCACAACCCTCACATGTGTCGTGACCCGATAAGGATCGACAGCCCAGGCGGCAGGGTTTGCACGCCGTTTCGTTTATTTCGAAACACCAGTCGCACTTTTCGTGGTCCCGTAGTAGGCCTTACCAACCCAGTGGCCAATTTCGCATGCCGTCGCGTCCACTTCGGCACACCTCTCACACGTGTTGTGGCCGCATGCCGCACATCCCTCACACGCTTTGTGGCGCCCCATCCTCCTCCTCCTCCTCCTCCTCCTCCTCCTCCTCAATCCTTCCACCTGTCGAGTGGCGCTCACACCTGCAGATGGTTGGGCCCTTCGCCAGGACACTTTTCGACGACGATGGCACGCCCGCGCCCACGCATAGCTCTGTGGACCAGTGCCGGGGGCGCGAAGCTGCACTGCTCGGGCTCACGAGACGTGGCGAACCCCCTTCTCCGCCTTCCCTCTCGAGCTCGCCTCTGCTTGCCTCGTGAGACGCCCTGTGACCACCGAGCCGTAGGCACTGGGTGGAGTGTCCGCAGGTCCCTTCAAACTTTCTTGTGTTCTCTGTGCTGAATAATGCGATTTCAAGTGCTTCATGCAAGGCCCAATCCCCGAAGCAGCGGGCACTCCCAGCCGCCCTCCCGCGCCCCCGTTGGTCCCCGCGTGACTTTCCCAGAGGCCTTGGTGGCGCGGCGCTGACCCCGCACTTTCAGCGTGACCTGATCTGGTCCCCGATGAACCCCCAGAGGCCCACAAGGGCCCCCCAATTATCCCCTCCCAAGAGCGCCCACAGAGGCTGCTGTGCCACATGGGTGCCTGACGTTCCGGGACTTCTACTTCTCTTCGGGCTTGACTCTTCCAAAGAGTGCCCACTGGCCTTCGGCGCAACCTGCAAACGCAAACTCTGGTGGGCGTGTTCGACCAAGATGGCTCCACCATAGTCTCCAACGATGTCCCAATGCCCCTCGAAGGCAGCCTATATTCACTCCAGGACGGTCTGATATAGGTTAAAATATGGCCACCATGGCCCCAGCACGGCCAAATATGGTTCAGGATGACCCCAAGAGGACCTCCAACAAGCCCCCAAGAGGTGACACTCGTCAAACGTTTAACCGTTCTTAATAGTGTTCGCCGTCATGCGCTTTCGAGCTCTAGCACGCCCAATGCGGCCAAATTGCCATCATAGCCCCAAGACGGCCTGAAGAGGCACCATGTGTGCTCCAAGGCAGCCCCAAGACAGCCTGAGATGGGCTCCATGATTGCGAATACGGCCTGCGAATCTGTTAATGTGGCTCCATGTGGCCCCATAGATGGCCCCAGTCGGCCACGATGGCTCTATAGGAGTCCCGAAGAGGGCCCGCTGGAGGCTCTGCTTGGGCCCATGACCCGCCGGATGGCCCGAACGGTTTCCCAAGGCAGTGGGCCTGAGCATAGCTCCCGTACATGGACATTCTACTCAAACCCTGCGACCGAACATGCTCCCCGCACCACCTGAAATTTACATTGAGGGCGGGAGAGGAGGAGCGGGGAGTGAGGGGGGGAGGGGAGCGGAGTGGACTTCAATGGGGGTATGGAAGGATACGGTTTTGTGGAGGGTTGCCCTGAGCCATCCTGAAGCCTCGGAGGCCCCATGGACCCCTGGAGCTGCGAGCAGCTCGACTTGCCTTGTCCAGGGTTACATGTTGCTCTCGTCCTACCGTCCACAACGGGTGCGTTCCCGAAAGCTGGAGACGGTCCTGAGGAGGTCTGCTTTGCGCCATCCTGAGGCCTCGGAGGCCCCATGGGTCCCCAGAGCTGCGAGCACGTCGATCTATTCCTGCTCAGGGTTACTTCCTCAGCGCAGACACATGGTTGTGATTTCTTCCCCGCACATGCGGTTCATTCGTTGTCCCTCTTTTGGTGATGCGTTTTCTGCGTTTCCTCCATCGTCGCCATGGCATATTGTCTGTTAGGCCTTCAAGAAAGCAGCCAGCGAGCCAGCCAACAAGGCAGCCAATGAGGCAGCTTACGCATCCAGCGAGGCGGCCAACGAGGTATCCGACGAGGCAGCCTGCGAGGCTGACACAACATTATCCTGGCGAAGGGCCCAACCACATGCAGTTGTGGTTACCGCAATGGTGAATATCTTTTTCGGTGAAGCTCCCCATGGGGCCACTAAGCGCTGCACTTGGTGGAAGGGAACGCATGCGGGCGGTAGCGCTGGGGCCGTCGGTGGAGCTCCCTATCAGCCTATGGGGCCATGGGTGAAAATGCCGAAGTGGGTGTGCGGGACGCATGCGGGCGGTCCCACTGGAGGCTTCGGTGGAGCTCATCATGGGGCCACGAAGCGCTGTATTGGGCGGGTGAAAATGCCAAATTGAGTTTCCGGGACGCATGCGGACGGCGTCCGTTCCGAAATATGCAGCCGTCGCCGCGACGCCTCCAAAAGGTCGTCGTGCTGCTTTTGGCTTCGCGGCGCTATGCCGCTCAGCGGCAACATCTCCAGTTGGGCGCGGAAGGCTTTCGCCAGGGTGGCAACTGGGAGCTGAAAGGCGTCGAGGCCGACGCCCGGTGCGTCAGCCTTCACCCTGGCATCTCCCCATCTGGCGCAGATGCTGTCGATGCGCTTGCGCGGCTGCGCACGAAAAATCTTCAGCTCGAGGCCTCGTTGGAGATGTCTCTCGCCATCTGGGCTCTCGGGCCGCTGGGCCAAATAGTATAGGAGACATGTGACTGGGTCAGCGCGGACACCGCCGGACCCCGCGCCGAAATTGATGACGACTGGAGGCATCCGCATTACCAGCGTCCGAGCGAGGCTTGTGAGTCCACGCTGCAGGAATGCCACCTGTTGCGATAGGGTCATCCGTCCAGAGTGAGCGTTCAACCACGCGTGAATCCCCCGCGTCCGCACTTGGTCAGGGACAGAGCCAGCAAGGTCCAGTGCGGGACCTCGCGTCTGATCATACTTTCACTCGCGGCCCATATGACCGATGATAGCTCCACTCGCCACCGCAAGCAAGCCATGCACTACCATTCCCAAGAAATGAACCGCGCAAGCGAAGGTTAACGTGGCCGACATATTTCTGGAGGCAGTGAATGTGCCGATCGCGTCACCATGAGCGGCTGACGACAAAGATTGGGTAGCGAGTCGGCGAAGATTGCAGGTCGGAGATGTAGGAGTCGTTCGCGCAAGAAGGTAGATGAGGTCGCAGTCGGGGAGATAGTGGCGGAAGTCGCGGAAATTGAAGCATCACTCGCGCCTCCCCGACCAAAGGTGGATGAGGTCGTAGTCGAGAAAGTAGTGGTGGATGTTGTAAATGTCGTTGTAAAAGTCGAGGCTTCTCGCGATCGACGGAGTGGACGAGGCGAGGAAGGCCTTCACCTCGTCGGTCGAGTCTCCTGGCGCGTCGGAAGTCCAAGCGGTCGGGGGAATGGGGGCAGTGTAAACGCTGGAGTAAGTGCGCACGTAGCGGTCGAACTCAGCGTTGACCGCGTAGCTCTTGTTGTTGTAATCCCGCGGGTAGTTGCCCTTGTGCATGTCGTCTGCCACGGCAGTGGTGGGCAAAACTTCCGCGGCTGCAGCAGCTCCGCTACCAAGTCTGAAACTGGTGTTCCAAACCATGACTGTATAAGGCCGCGTAAATGGTACGGTCAAGGAACGGGACGGGATGGTAAGAAATGGCGATGGGTAGAGACAAGGGCCCTTTGTCTCTCCCAGCGCCTCCAATCGAGTACCGGCAACGCCGCAGATGCTGGCAGATAGGGCGGCGCTGCCCTGAGCCAGAAAAACAGCGGAGGCAGGCGAACATGCGTCCTCACCCTGGGACGTCCAGTCAAAAACCCTAAGGAGGACGCGCGGCAAGGACGCAGGACCCTTGGAGGCCGAAGTTGGGATTTCTGGGGCGGCGGACGACGAAAACCCCAAGGACGCAAGAGCAAGGAAGAGCAAAGACGCAAGGGTACCCTGAGCAAAGTCGCGCGTCCTCACTGCAGGTCCGTGCCGTGTCGACCCTGGCGTTGGTTCCTGACACCGCGCTGGACCGTTTAACCTTGAACGATCGGCCGTCTCCGCAACGTCTGATCGTTCAACATCGACCGACTCTGGGCCGCCGTCGGCGTTCAACGTTGAACGTCGGCGGCGGGGTCGCCGCCGGTCGACACGACGCGAACCTACCGTACTAGGGGTTCTGACTGTACCCTCGAAACCCTGGATCGACCCGAGAAGGCCGCAAGGAGGCCCCAACGGGCCTCACGGGTGCCCCTCCGGGCCCCGAGGAGGATCCCGAAGAGGCTCCCGTCGGGGATGGACGGACCCCCCTTTAGTAAAACGTGGCTTAGTGAAGACGACCTGAGGCCCAAACCTGGCGGGCGCAAGCCTGGAAAAGAACGGCCGCGGCGCCCTCTCGAGAACCGAAAACAGACAATTCACTAATCGACGTGTCACTGTTGGGGGTTCTGTCCACCCCCGATCCAGGGTGGCCCGAGTGACGCCGCGCCGCCACTGAGAACCCCCCCCGATGGTTTCCAAAGAGGCGCCGCAGAAGGCATCCAGAGGGCAGCAGGCCAAGAAGGCGTCCAAGAGGCTACCTCAAACACCCCGAGAAAGTCCCAACATGCCCCCCAAAAGCTCTGACCTGGGTCACAAAAATACTCCAGAATGCCATCCGGATTGGAACCGGGAGCCTGCCATGTTCTAAACACTTTTGGTCGGCGGGGCGAGAGCGAACCTCTTCCGCTAAAAGCTAGGCGGGCTGCGCACAGCTCTAATTAGGGAGACAGGGTACAGGCGGGCGGGGCCTCACGCGGCCGGAGAGGGCGGGGCCCGGGGTGGCCATTTTCTAAACACGTCATAGCGCCAACTCCCCACACGCGGCACAATGCTACCAATGGTTTCACGGCCGCTGCAGGAGACCGCGCTGCCAAGAACACGATCGCGCGACCGCTCGCCGTCCTGCTTCTCATCGACCTCGGTCCACTTCCTCCTCCTCCTCATCTCCTTCCACCTGCTCCTCTCGTTTTGAGGGTGATATATACATACATATGTCTGTATTGCAATATCATATATATATATATATAGATCCTTCTCTCTACATTTGGAGATGTAGATGCCTATATGTATATGTATCCAAACGGCGCCATCTACCCTCTGCACCTTCCTCGATTGTTTACTCCTTCTCCGCGTGTGTCGATGGACGGATGGGTGAACGGAGAGGGGAGGAGCGGAGGGAGACTGCGAGAGGTGAGCCACATCTCAAGCAGATGGTCAAGCTCCCAGGCACGACGAAGGGATGTACAGCCAAACATATGCAGATGTGCGCATATAGACAGATGAATACATATGAGTGCCTATGCCTGAAGTCACATGACATTAAACAACATGCTGGAGAAGCTACTCGGAACCTCATTCGAAAACGAACAGGTGGGCCAGTGCCACAGTGCCCTGCAACTCGGTCAATTTCAGGTATCTCACGCCGTCGCAGATATCGTGGCCGAACGTATGCTCCTGCGCTGCGACCGCTTCACGGCAATTGGCGGGACCATCTTCTTCGCTTGCAGCAGCTCCAGGAAGCTTTGCTGCTGAGCGGTAGACTCGCCGCTCCCAGTCGAGCTCCAAGCGCACACAGACCCAGCCCCGCGCTGCTCTCAGGGGCACCGCGGCAACGGACGGCGCGGAATCTTTCTGCTTGAGGAACTTTGACAGATGGAGGACCGCGGAGGCCCCATCCTGGGCGCACCAAGAGAACTCGACCAACCTCGGTCGGCGATGCCGCTCCAGGTCGAGCACGAACTCCTCCGGGGGAGCCGCGGGCTTCAGAGACAGCGCATGACACGAAGACCTACTGGCCGCAGAGCGCGGCTGCAAAACAGTGGGCAGAAGGTCGTGCGTCCTCCCCTTCAGGTCATGCCGCTTCCACCGGTGCGTCGTCAAGAAATCCTCCTTGAGCACAAGCTTGGCTTGCCCACCTGGCAATTCAGCTCGGTGTAGCTCCCGCCACTCTTGCAAAATTGCAGGATTATCGGAGCCTGCTTCCTGTAATCCGGTATGCAAGCTCCTGGAAACAGCCACCAACGGCGCCCAGGCAGGAACACGTCCCTGAGGTGGAGCACCGAGACAGTGCAGTATCGGAAGCAACGCCACCATGTCGTCGAGCGGCACGGGCACACAGAGAGGCCAGAATGGATCATCGTCCAGCCCTTCCTTTGGCTCTGGACCCAAACTCGCCACGCTTCTGTTTCTCCGCTTCGCCGCGGGCTTGCTGCCAAAACCACAGCGGCCATACAGGCTGCCAGACACGGTCCTGGTGGCACACTTCCGCGAGGCAGACGAGCTCGTGGCACTACTGCTGATGCTCTTGCCCGCGACGCCAGCTCCGCTCCCAGGGGGCGATCCCGTGGTGGTGGCGCCGTTCACGTGGACATTCGCAGCGCTTCTCGAGGACCGCAGCAAGAGCGCCACGGCAGCCGCAGTGCTCGCCGAGCGCGCGGCCTGGGTGGCCGAAGGCCGACGCGACGGCGCAGCAGCGCTCGGAGACGCAGCACCACCGGCGAGGCCGTCCGAGAGCGAGCATGCCAGCGGCACTGGGCGCATCGCCGAAGGGGCGGCAGACACACTCGCGCCCCCGGCCGCAAAAGAGCACACGCGGCTCGAGCCAAAACCGCCAGGGAGGAGGGGGCCGACGGGGAGGACGTGGCCAGCGGCCCGAGCTAAATCCAGCCAGCGCGGTCATCCCAGGCTGCGAGGAGCAGAGTTTCCACCGTCGGGCGCCAGAAAGTTTCCACCGTCGGGCGCCAGAGGCCCCTCAAAACCAGGGGCTCTGAGAGACATCATGCGGCATCTGACAAGACTGAGGCGCATCATCCCATCACCGCGTGAACCACAGCCATCGCCACAACTCTTACCATCGTTATCGTAATCGCCGTTGTCCGCCGCCGTGCCCCATGGCACGTTGAGGCGTCGAAGAATGCCAAGGTGTGTCGGGTAGGATCTTTTGAATTATGCTGAGGGACCGCCCCTCCCTCTACCAGCAGACTCTTGCGTGCACCGGTCCTCCTTGCCGGGGCCACTTCCCCCGTGCCCGCTCGAGGATGGTGCACGTCCCGCATGGCAGCCAATGCCTGAACCCCCCTTCCACGCGTGCCCGCTCGAGGATGGTGCACTTCCCGCATGGCAGTTACTGCCTGAGCCCGCATTCCATGACCGCCCGCTCGAGGATAGTGCAATTCCCGCATGGCTGCTAACTCCTAAATCCCCCATCCCACGCGCACCTGCTCCAGGATCGTCCACTTCCCGCATACCCAGGCACTGCTCCCAAGCGCTCCAGGGCCTCCCAAGCCACGATCCCTAGCTAAAAACAATGGATCTGCGCCCCGAGCTTACAAGACGGCACGTGCAAGCAACCACGGACACCAAGATGGCCCAAGCTGCTTCGAAGACGGCCCAACATGGCCCCAAAGTAGACGAGTACTGATTCAACACGGCCCAGGATACCTCCAAGAGGGCCCAAAATGGACACAAGAGGACTTCCAACAGGCTCGAGAAAAAACCAACAACAATGATAATCTTTACGCTTTTGCATGATTGTCGCATTCTCGCCATTCGGGCTGCCGTCAGCTCAAGACGGCCCAGGGGGACTCTGAAATGGCCCAAGAGGCATCCACTATACTCATCATCAATGTTATCATCATCATCATCATCATCATCATCATCATCATCATCATCATCATCATCATCATCATCATCATCATCAACATCATCACCACCACCATCACCATCACCATCACAATCATAATCATCATCACCACCACCATCATCATCACCATCATCATCATCATCAGCAGCATCAGCATCAGCATCATCACCATCACCACCATCATCATCATCATGATCATCATCATGATGATCATCATCATCATCATCATCATCATCATCATTTTCGTCATCATCGTCATCATGATCATCACAACCATCATCACCATCATCACCATCATCAGCATCATTAGCATCATTACCATCATCGCCATCATCACCATCACCATCACCATCATCAGCATCACCATCATCACCACCACCATCATCATCACCATCACCCTCGCCATCATCATCAGCATGATTATAAACACCACCATCGCCATCACCATCATCATCACCATGATCATAATCATCAGCATCATCATCATCAGCATCATCAGCATCATCACCATGATCAGCATCACCATCATCGTCGCCATCATCAACATCATCAGCATCGTCATCACCATCAGCTTCATCATCACCATCACCATCATCATCATTATTATCATCATACGCATCACCATCACCATCACCACCATCAACAGACTCAGCATCATCATCATCATCACCATCATCAGCATCATCCCCAGCATCATCAACATCATGATCACAACCATCATCGACGTCGTCATCATCACCATCATCATCAACATCATCATCATCGTCGTCATCACCAGCATCATCATCAGCATCATCAACCACAGCATCATCGTCATCATCAGTATCACTAATTATCGTCGCCAGCATCAGCATCAACATCATCATCATCATCATCATCAACAACAACAACATCAGCATCAACTTCATCATGATCATCATCAACGTCATCGTCATCGACATCGTCGTCATCATCACCATCATTATCACCATCATCGTCATCAGCCCCATCAACCTCATAATTCCCATCGTGCTCAACACGGCTCTCCCAAGCCTGGAGACACGAAATGTCACACTTGACGGCCTCCCGTGTTCCATCGAGCAATCGCCACCCCGGATTCTGGGCTGGCACGGCGGCGGGACTTGCTCCAGGCAGCTGGATTTGCATCACCAAAAAGCCATGAGATCCTGACACCCTCCCCACTGCTGCAGCCCATGCACCCGCCACTCCCGCCTGCGGACCAGCGCCCGGGCGATCGAGATGCGCTGCTTCTGCCCGCCTCGCCAAGAGCGCACGCACGATGCCAACAAATAGACAATGAATCGAAATGTGATGTGGATAAGTGCAAATATGTATGGCCAACATGGCGAATCACTTATCCAACTGCCTTCCGCTACCCGCGCCACCGATCCAGCGCAGCAGCGCAGCACGACGGCGGCTGAGCTTCAGACCCCATTCCGCGCCTGCGCGATAGCCGAATGGGTGGTCTGGGAGGGTTTCTGCGATGCCCCCCCCCTGCTAACACCCACCCCTAGAAGCCCTCCATCAGGGCTTCTTCCCAGCGCCTTTGTCGACCTTCAGAAGGCTCCAACACGGATAAAAACATCCCAAAGTCGTGGCAGCATGCCAGACAGTCAGCCCAAGACGGCCCAACGACCACCCAGATGCCCTCAAGAGGCCCAAGTACGCCTCCGAGAGGCGTCGAAGGAGGCCTCCAACCTGAGGGGTAAAGAACAATAATGAAGTGCCTGGAGAACATCAATACCTGTCTTTTCTAACCTGGCATCTTCAGGTCCAGGACAACCAGACAACCCTTGAAACAAGTTCAAGCTGGCCCCCAAACAAGCGTCCCCAAATGATGGCTAACGCATAAGAGTTCTGTACTGGCCGTTAGGCCGGACCTATTTTAGGTGTGAAAACTTATCCTCTTGACCGTTCCCCTCGCCATGCAACCCGCGCCCTCTCGGGGCGATCGGGACGAGGGCCGTCGAGGGTGGGTCGGGAGAGGACCGCCGCCTCTCGCCTGCGAGAAGACTCCGAAAAGTGGGGCGGGTGAGAAGAAGGTCTTACTTAACCTCTTGCCTGCAACCTGAACCCTTTCAGGACACCACCGACACATGTGGCCATGACGTCCCTGGCACGATCCCGCAACAGCTGCGCCTCGCCCAGGAACGACGTGGCACCCCACAGGCCACCGTTGATTTGCCCATGGGCGAGACAGGAAGAGGACCTCTGAGGCCAGACCTGTGGGAAAAAAGGCCGCCACCTCTTTGCTTGCAGCCTGCGCCCCGTTCAGGACTCCGCCAACACCTGCGACCACGGCGCCCCTGTGCCGACCCCGAAGCAGCTGCGCCAAGCCGAGAGCGAGGGGCCGCCGAAACGCCCCGTGACGGCCCAGGACCCCCACGGGGACGCCGTGGCACCCCACAGGCCAACGCTGGCTTGCCCATGGGGCGCATCAGGAAGAGGACTTCGAGAGGCGGGGCGGGTGAGAAGGAGGCGCTGAAAAATGCGAATGTTTTTACGCACGGATGAGAATAGATACTGCACCAGGGCACTTCGGAGAAGACGCGCAGCGACTGGAGCTCCTGTCGGGCGAGCGTCGCCTGCGCGTCACCGCGCTGGACCCGCGCGAGGTCGGCCAGCGCGCCCTCCACATATATACGGGCTGCGAGGCTGCTGGCCCAACGCCCGCGGACCAAGGTGAGTTCCATACTCTTGGTCCGCAGGAAGCACTCCGACGCGCCGCCGCGGCGGCAGCTGTGCCAGCTGAGCGGGCGCTGGAAGCCGAGGCCCTCCACCAGCGCTGCGACGGCCGCCCGCGACTGATGCGGCGACCGCGTGCTGAGCCTGTCCCACCTCGTCCAGGCCGCGCGTGGCGAGCCGCAGCAGCTGGGGGGTGATCGGCGCCCTGATGACGACCGCCTCCACAGCTTCGCGCCCCGCTGAGTCCTTGGGCGAGGCGATGCGGAGGACGGCGCGCTGGCCGCGGAAAGCCACGTCGCCCCTGCACGGCGCGAAGGCTTCGCCGCCGCGCGCCAGGCCTTCGAAAGCAACCATCAGGAGGCACGCGACGTCGACGCAGCCTGCCTCCAGCGCTAGGCCAGCCATGGCCCCGACGATCTCGGGCGCGAAGTGGGGCACGCGTGCCGCGGGCCCCCTCTTCCGCCATGTCTTCAGCAGCGCCCAGCTCAGATCCATCCGGCGCCGAAAGCGCGGGCTGAAGAAGCACGCGCCCGCCGCCGCGTCGTTCGCCGCCGCGATGCCCGCGCCCGAGGCCCAGAGGACCTCCCGGTGACCTGCGACGAGCGCGTCGGCGCCCTCGCCCCCCTGGCCCAGCGCCTCGACGCCGCCCCCTGCGACGCCGGAGTGCTCCAGCAGGCGGTCGACCGCGGCGGAGTGCCGATGCCTCGTCGCGGCGCCCACGCGGAGCAGGAACAGCGACTGGGCCCGCAGGGCGCCCCTCAGCCGAGCGCGCGCGGCGGGGGGCCCCCGCGGCGCGGGGGCAGCAGCTTGGGCGGCCTGGGCGCGGCGGCCCTGAGCCGCGAGCCACGCCGCAACCTCCTCGGATGGTTCGTCGGCGGGGTTGTCCTCTGACACGACGTAGCCGACGACCGGGCGCATGTCGCCGGCCACCGCGACCGCGGCCCATCTGGCCAGCGCGGGCTGGAGGCGGCGGCTGCTGCTCCTGCCTTTCGTCGCGATCGCCGCGACGACCCGGCTGTCGACGAGTTTGGGCTGCCGCGCCGACTCGCCTTGCGGGCGCGCCACCGCAGCGCCGCCGCCGCCGCCCGCAGCCCTCGGACGTTTATGCGGGCGCTCTTGGCTGCAGGCCACGCCTTGCTCAGCACCGCGCGCCACCGCCGCGCAAACGACGAGGCTTGACGGCGGCCGCCCGCGCGGGCTGTAGGGGGGGCCGCAGTCCAGGCGCACGTCGGCCCCGCCCTTCTCCGCTCGGGCCAAGTAGTGCAGCACCGACCGTCGCGAGGCCAAGGCGCCTGGGCCCCCCGGCGCGCCCTCGTGCCGCCCGATGGCGCCCCGCGACAGTCGGCGCCAACCAAAGTGCACCATCTGCTGCACCTCCAGTGGCCTGCTCAGCGTCTTCGCCCCCAGCAGCACCGCCTGCGCCAGCCATGCGACGACGTGGGCGCTGAAGCTGTTGCCCGGGAGGAAGGCCCGCACTTCGCTGCAGTCGCGCTCGTTCGAGCCCTTCGCGGCTACGGGCGCGCAGTTCACATCGAAGCCGAGAACCCTCTCCCTTTCCGAGCTGGAGGGGGGGCGAGGAACGGAGCCCGCAGCGCTGTCCAGCAGCAGATGTTTATCCTAGTACAGGGCAACGTGATATCGGAACGAGTCCGCCCCCCACCGGGCGCGCGCCGCCGCCGAGGCCTGCTGTAGCCCCCTCGGGGCCGAGAGGTAACTTCGGCAGCGGCCCCCAGCATGCTAGCGTTGGGAACAGGCCTGGAGCGCCCAGCCAGCGGGCTCCTTCGCCCTGCCAGGCCAACTCGCAGAGGGGGCCCCTCGGGGCGCGAACCTCGCGGAGCCCGCCCCTCGCGACCGCGGCGAGCAGGGCGGCGACGTGCGGCCCCCAGCTCAGCCAGCACAGCCTGGGACGTCGGCAGGGCACGAGGACGGATGAGCGCGAGGAAGGGCTCGACGCCGAGGGCTCTGCTGATTCCAGCCCGGTCATCCACCGTCGTGCTCGCGACGTTCTCGACGAACCACTTCAGCTTGTGACCGAGCGCCGCCTTGAGGAGCTCCAGCAAGCGGGGCACCTCATAGAAAAAGCCGGACTTGGCGCCGCGCAAGCCCGCGCCCGGCGCGCTCAGCCTGGCCAGGTCCTGACAGGGGCTGCCCGCGGCCGCCGCGCAGAGGTCGACCTCGTCGCAGTAGGCGCCCCGCAGCTCGTTCACGACAGCGGCCGTCACGCGCGCCGCGTCGCCCCAGTCGATCGCGCCTGGCCAGCGCAGGCGCGCCGCCCTGCGCGCCTTGGCGCCCGTCTCCGCCGCGACGAAGCCCATGGCCCGCACGGGCAATCGCGAGAAGGCCATCGCCAAGCCCCCAATCCCGTCGAACAGGCCGACGAGGAGCACCTTGGGCGCCCTCAGAACCGCGGCCCGCGGGGTGAGAGGGTTGGCGACCGCCCAGGGCTCAAAGGGCTCGGCGGGCAGCTGCAGCAGTCGAGCCCCCAGGTGCATCTGCTCGTCCAGCGTCGGAGCGCCGCCGAGGCTGGCCTCCGCCTCGGCTCGGGGGCCCACCGACGCGCGCGCGCCCCCGCCGAACTCGGGCGCGTCCGAGACCGCGGCCATGCCTTCGATCTTGGCTCGCAGCGAGGTCGCGGCCATCGGCATCACTAGCATGGCGGCCAGCAGCTCCTCGACCATCGCCGCCGAGAACCTCGCGCTGCCGCGCTGCGAGCTCAACCTCCAGACCTCGTTGAGCACACTGAAAAGGGGCCCTCGGAACTCGGAGAGCCTAGCGTAGCGCCCGAGGATCGCCATCGCGAGCCGCCACGGCACGGCCTCGAGCCTGAAGGAGGCCAGGCACAGCGCGATCGCCTCGAGCGACTTGGCCAAGGGCGCGGCCAGGCAGCCGGACTCGCCGCCGGCGTCCGCCCCCATGCGCTCGACCCGAAGCTGCCTGCAGTGAGCCTTTTCCGCCGAGTAGGCGACGCCAGCCCTGTCAGAACTGGCTCGCGCTCTGACCTACATCTCCGCCAGCGAGCCTACCAGGCGTCTGGCGCGCACCTCCTCCACGATCTCGGGCGCGTCGAAGTCGTCGATGTAGACCTGCCACCGCGCTGGGTCTCCTTCCTCTGCAGCGGCGGCGACGGGCCGCGGCGCATCCTTGCGCCGCTCCGCCTGCGGGGGAAGCCCCGCGCCCAGCGGCGGTGACAGGCGGCGCAGCCTCCCGTGGATGCGCCGGTGCACTGGGGCCGCCAGAGACCAGCCCATCCCGATCGCCGCCGACGCACGGCACCCCTCGGGCTCCAGCCGCCCGAAGAGCGAGCCCGCCACTGGCCGCCCCACCGCAGTGTAGCGGTGCATGCACGGGGCACGCGCCACACGAAGAGGGCCCCCATCTGGTCGTCGCCCGACCAAAGGAGCAGCTCCCCCTCGGGGGTGTGCAGCGACACCCAGCTCGTGGATCCAACAAGCATTGCCGCCCCCCCTATGCGGGGCTCGACGACCGCGTTGCCAGGCACCATGTTCAGGATGAGCCTCGCGACGCGGCCCAGGCGCGCCCTTTTTCTCCGCAGCGAAGAGCCCGTTCAGCAGAGGCTCGCCGAGGACGCGGACCAGCTCCTCGGCGGGGAGCACGGTGAAGATCACGAAGTCCACGAGGTGCATCGCCGGGGCCTCCCGCTCGAACTGCGAGCCTACGTTGACCCGCCCCTTCGGGAGGGGGTCAGGGAAGTTCGCCTCCGCCTTGAGCGCCAGCGCGGGGTCGGCCAGCCAACGCGCCACCTCATCGTCAACGAAACCGATCGCGCCCAGGGTCGCCGCGGGCCCCCTCTTCGGCGGGCCAGGGGCCAGCTCCGCGAGGGCGCGGGGGAGGGCGCGCATCGTGGGCCCCCCGATGTAGTCCACTGACGAGGTCGCGACCGTGTCGCCCAAAGAAGCGACGGCCACGGTCTCGAAAGGCTGCTGGACAAACTCCGCCGTCCGCGAGCGAATGCGCCGCGTGGCCGTCTCCTGCGCCAGCGTCAGCGTCGCTCCGAGTCGGAGCGATTCCCGAGCGACCCCGCAGCGCATGCGGTTGAGGCCCAGCACGCTCATGTAGGCCCACGCCTCAGACGCGACCGCCCTGGCTACGGGCGCGAGGCGACGCCGCGAGCCCTTGACAGCCTGGGCCCACCTCGCAACCTCCTCGAGGGGCGGGAAAGGCAGCGGCGGCAGGTCCCGGACTCGGGCCTTCGCGCCACCCCCCTCGAATGGGAGCGCCTGCCCTGCGAGGCGACCCAGGGCGCCAGGATGCAGCTGCGCGAACCTCGCGAGCTTGACTGCCAGATCGACCCGACGCGTGGGCCGACCAAACTCGGCGGGCGACCTCCTGCGCCGCGCCACCACGCTCTCCGACACCTCGCTCAGCGGCAGCGACTCCAGCCGCCTCGCCCCCTCCAGCCACTTCGCCCCCGACCAGTTCCCGGCGTGGAGCACGACCTGGAGCGACTTGAACCGCCGCGCGAGCAGGTCCGCAGACGCCGCCGAGCGCCCCTGCACCAAGAGGTCGAGCGCCTGGGCGAGCGTCTGCAAGTCGCGGCGCGCGGGCGCGCCGATCCCCCGCACGGGGTGCTGCGGGAGGTCCACCGCGAGGAGCCGCAGCAGCACGATCGCGCCCTGCGGGTCGACAGCGATTTCCTGCGCCGCGCGGGAGGCGCCCGCCGAGGCCGCCGCGCCCTCGGTCGGCCCCCGATCGCGCGCCCCGCGCGCGCCTCCGTCGGACGGGGGAGGCGCTGCCAGCAGCTTCGGCCCCCCGCGAGCAACCTTCGCGGCGCGCTCCGAGGGCGCCTCCGCCAGCGGCCGCTTGACCTCGGGCCCGGCCTCGACCGCAAGTGCAGCCTGCGCCGCGCCCTCGGCGGAGGGAGCGGCACCCTTGTCACGGTCCCGCAGCGCTGCGAAGCGGTCCTTCGACTTCATCAGCCGCGAGCGCAGGGCGGCCACCCCGCTGGGCGCGGAGGGCTCCTCGTCCAGCTCGCCGAGGAGGTCCTCGAACGGGTGGGCGCCCGCGGCGGGCGCCTCGGCAGGCCGAGCGGCCCCGGGCGGCGGCCCCAGCAGGTCCTGCGGCCACACCGCACCTGGGTTGGTGGCCCGATACTGCAGCCAGAGTTCCGCCGCCGCCTCGACCGTCAGCCGCGCCACTTCCGAGGTGTGAACCAGCTCCGTGCAGTTCGACGGCAGCTCGGCCTCGCACAGCGGCACGGGGCCCTCGCAAATGTGCAAGAGATGCCTGAGCACCGCGCTCGCCCGCGCACTGCGACCACCAGTCCCAGTAGCTGTCGCCCATCCATAGCAGCCTCACGGGTGCGAGCCTGCGGCAGCGCGAGTGCCGCTGGCACAGCCACACGAACTGGCACTGCACCTCCGGGGCGTTGTTGTATCCGACGGACGCGTGCAGCTTCCCGTCCACCAGGGCGACCAGCTCCACATCCTCCACTGGAAGCTGGTCGGCGCCTGCAGCCGCCGCAGGGCGGGCCCGCGGGCCCGGGGCAGAGAGGTCGGCCAGCTCCTCGACGTCGTCCCCGTCGTCCACGACCTCGGCCATGGGCCCCGCGCGCCGTTGCGGCGAGAGCGGGGCCCAGCGGCTCGCCGCCAGCGTCGCCTCCGCCGCCCCCACCCGCGCGCGCGCGCGCGCCGCCGCCGCGGGGAGGGGAGGGAGGCGCCCTCGGCGGCCTCCCCTCCCGCGGCGCGATGCAGGTGTGGCACCGCCTGGTGCCGCCCGATTGCGCGCGCGCTGCCCTCGCAGGGCGCCCGAATGCGCCCTGGGCGCGGGGGTTGGCGGGGTTCTGCGGACGGCGCGGGGGCCGCCCGAATCCCCGCCAAACTTTGAGCCACAAGAGGCTACGTGAAGCAGGACGGCGATAAGCGCACCCACCCCCTCCCATGAACAGACACGCGCGTGTATACGGCCACGCACACACATATATATATCTATATGCATCTATGTATATGTATGTATATATATATATATATACATACATATACACACGTACATACATACAAATATGTATATATATATACAAGACTGCATTGGCGCTTCGCGCCATGCACCTTGGTCCTTCAACCCTTGCGCGCGTTGGCGTCTAGCGCGGCCCTCCACGGTCTTTGAACCGCGGTTGGTTCGCGCCCAGTTCCCGGACCTGCACCTTACTTGCTCGCGCCCTCGCTCTGCTGGTCCGCGCGCCACTGGGACTCCATGAGAATGTCCCAGCGGACCGATCAGCGGCGATGAGAGCGGCCGTGGAGGCCCCGGAAATACAAAACGTCGGACAGAAGGGGCGGGGAAGAAGTGGAGGACGATTTGGGGAGGCGCGGCGAAGGGAGGAATATCATGAGGTAAGGTAAGGTAAGGCACGCATTGGGGCGGCGTGCTGTCTCGACTTGCGCATGGGGGTGAGACAAACGGAGATGCCTTGCGATCACATATGGAAACAGACCAGGGGGCTGCGGCTCCAAGGACTGCCAGATCATGAGGAGGAAGAGGAGGAGGGAGAAGGATAATGAAGGTGCCGTCGGGGAGCGGCAAAGCAATTTGTCCGCGTCGCACCGAGAGGCGCCGCTCCAGAAACCGCCCAACCCCGCGGGCGGCCTCTGCCCGAAAGCCGAGAGCGGGGGGCCAGAGGCAGGGGCGGCAGCCGAGCCATTTTGGGGCCTCGTGGGTTCTTTTTGGGAGTCCTCGGGGCCTTTGGAAGCCTCTTGGGGCCTCTTGGGGCCCTCCTGGGGCCTCCTGGGGCCCACTTGGGGCGGAAAGTTAGATGTTTGAACTTTTGATCGCCCTGTGGGGGCTCGTTTGAAGCTTTCTCGGGGCCCTCTTGGGCCTTCTTGGGCGCCTCTTGGGCTGTTTCGGGGCGTTCCAGAGCCGTCTTGGGGCCGTGTTGGGGCCGTTTTGGGCCCCCCCCGGGCCATCTTGGGGCGCTCTTGAGGGCCTCTAGTTCTGTCGTGGAGCGTCGGAAAGCTAAAATGGCGAGAAAGCAGAAAACATAGAAAAACACATTGGAAAATTGACCATTTCGGCCTCCCGGGGCCGTCTTGGGGGGCTTCTTTGGGGCCGCTTGGGGCGTCTTGGGGGCTCCTGAGGCTGTCTTGGGGCTATCTTTGGCGTCTTGGAGCGCTTTGTGCCTGTCTTGGAGCGCTCTTGAGGCACTCGGGACCGCTTCAATGGGCGTCCGGAGGGTCCCAAAGTCCCAGGATCCCAGGAGTCCGGTTTGGGGGGGGGGGGGGGGCGGGGTTTTGCGGCCGCCCGGGCTTGTAAAAATATAGGAAGAGGAATATGTGTGTATATATATATATACATATACATACATACATACATACACGCATACATCTACATATATATATATATATATATATATATATATATATATATATATACACACATGTACTTAAACATATATCGATTCGATATTCCCATTCATGTATTATTGAATGCCCGGGGTGCCCGAAAAAAAGGCCCCCCCCGAACGAAACAAATGTGGCCCACCATGGGCCTCTCGGGCAACCTTCCAGACGACCCGGGACACCCCAGAGAGGGCCCGAAGACGGCTCCAAAGGTCTCCAAGCGTTCCTGCGCACTCTCGAGACGACCCCAGAGAGCCCCAAGACGGCCCACGACGACCCCAAACAGGCCATCATACACCCCAGCATCGCTCCAACACGTCCCACGAGGCCTCCAAGAGCATTCCCAAGAAGGCCCCAACAGGCACACTCATCCGACCACTTTCATTCTTCTCACTCAAAATACCCCTCATCACTCATCATCGTTCGCATCACAGCACAATATGTTTGTTGTCTCTGCACACCCACCCGCGCAAAATCACTTCCTCCCTTTTCTTTTTCTCACGCACTCACTCACACACCATCATCATCACCATCATCAAACCTTCTTTTCTCACGCATTCACTCACAGCTTTCTCATCATCACCATCACCACCATCCTCGGCCATTCGCTCATTCAGTGACCACTCACTTGACCCACTCGCCGCACGCGAGTACTCCATCACGCAATTCATCGGTCACATTTAATCATCCACGCCGTCAACATCAGTCACATATTCACCACGCGCGATCACGCTAACACGCACTCAATCACTCACGCACCATCGTCACCACTGGCATCATCATCATCACAACCATGATCATCGCTCAAATCGTCACTCACGCATACACACACACTCACCCACTCACAAACTCATCATCGTCATCCGCATCATCATCATCATCGGCATCATCATCCTCACTGGCTCACTTACAGCCACACTTGATGACGTTTCGAACGGGAGCCTCGTCTGTGAGTGAATTGCGAGGAATCGGAATTCTCAACTAGGAACCCCCTCCCTATAGGGCCCGCAAGTCATGTTACTAATCCGAGCGGGCCGTCGGAAACCTGTAACAGTCGTCGTTCTTGGGTTCCCGAAGCCTGAATATGGGAGAAGTATCCGGCGGGAGTTTCGTTTGTGAGCGAATTGCGAGGAAGTCTCAGGCGGGAGCCTCCACCCTACATGGCCCGCAGCTCGTGTTACGAATCCGAGCGGGTCATCGGAAACCTGTAACTGTCGCCACTTTTGGGTTCCAGGGGCCTGAATATGGAGGAAGTGTGAGGCGGGAGCCTCGTCTGTGAGTGAACCGCGAGGAAGTTTCAGGCGAGAGCTCCCCCCCAACAGGGGCCCGCAGATCATGTTATTAATCCGAACGGGTCATCGGAAACCTGTAGCCGTCGCCGCTTTTGGGTTCCAGGGGCTTGAAAATCGAGGACGCATCAGGCAGGAACCTGGTCTATGATTGAATTGCGAGACATCTCAGGCGGGCGACTCCACCCCATGGGGCCCGCAGAACATTTTACTAATCAGACCGGGTCGTCGGAACCCGGTAACTGTCGTCACTTTTGGGCTCCCGAAGCCTGAATATTTCGTAAGTACGAAGCGGGCGCATCTTCTGTGAGTGAATGACCTGGTCGTCGGCAAATGTTGTTACTGTCGTGGGCCCACGTGCCCGAAACGCCCCGGAATCGTCCCAACGGTTTGGTCTCGCGCGCCATCGGCTCGCGGGGTTGTCCCGACGACCTGGCCCGCAGAGTTGTCCCAACGGCTGCGCGATGCGGCCACTAGAGAATGCGCCCGTGCTGGCCGAAGCGGCGACCTCGCCGAGGAAAACCGACGCGCGCGCTTCTACCAGGAGGAATGAGAAGTCCACGAGGAGAACAGGCGGGGCGGAGATGAGGAGGGGGAGAAGGAGGGGAGGTGAAGGAGGAGGAAAAAAAGACGGAGAGGAGGAATAATATAAGGCGGAGGGGGACGGAGAGGAGGAGGCGCAGGACGAGGAGGAAGAGGAAAAGGAGGAGGCGGAAGAGCAAGAGGATAAGAAATGCAACGAGTAGGACGAGAATCAACAGGAGGAAGAGAAGGATGAAAAAGATGAGGAGGACGCAAAGAGCGGAAGGAAGGCCTCCGCCATTCGAAAAAGAAAAGGGCGAGGGACAAGCTAAATAGATTCTCGTGTGGGGTCCTACCGTCGGGGTTCTGCTCTTTTCGGCTCCCGACGCTCCAAGACGTCGGTCCTCTGGGCGTCCGAAGCCGCCCGGGAGGCTCGAAAATTACTGAACAACCATCCGAAAGGGCTTCCAGGCAGCCCAAGAGAGCCCCATGACGGCACAACAAGGTTCCAAGATGGCCCAAGAAAGCCCCATGGCGGCCCAAGATGGCCCCAAGACACCCTCGGAAGCATTCCAAATCGTGACCCCGGTCGTTCAGGAAAACCGCGGTTGGAGGCAGGGTGGCCCGAGGAAGCCCCCAGAGGCCCCCAGAAGATGCCCAGGAGGCTTCCAGAATGTCTTCAGAAAACCTGAGAACTTATGTGATGCCCCCAAAGGCTCTCCAAGGAAGAGCTTCCGCAAAAAGAGCTACAGATGATGGGGAGCATACGCAGGGAATGACGAAGATGAGGAAACATAAACATGGAGGAAAGATAACAAGTGACATCATGATAAGGGCGATGTCGGAAAAGACATCAAGGAATTATCGTTAAATGTTCGGCTTAGCCTTCCTGCCATTCCCCTGGCATGCCAAGTTTCAGGGACCAAGGTATATGACGCGAAGCGCCGATGGAATCTTGTGTATCTCTCTCTCTCTATATATATATGCGTGTTTATATATATATATATACACCTAAATACATACATGTGTACATATTTTTACTCATATATTAAAATAACCCGGACCCCCCCCACACTGAACCAGACCCCCCCCAAGGATGCCCCGGACACCCTTTCGGACGTCTCGGCGGCCCCAGGGACGCCCTTGGAAAAGGTCCGCTGGCCCTTCCGGGCCTCCCAGGGCGCCTTGCCGGGCCTTGCGAGCAGATTAAAGGCGATCAGAGGGGCCATCGGGGAGGCGCAAGAGAGACCTAAGACAGCACAGGAGCACTCCAAGAGGAACTTCGATGGTCCGAAAACGCCCCACGAGGCCCCCAAGACGCCCCAAGAGGCCGTTAAGCGAGCCCCGAAAAAGCAACATCGCTCCATTCCCTTAGGAATATCTATATATATATACA